TTAATGAACAGCAAAAGGTGTAGAGTTTTATGTAAGTTAAAGCATCATATTTAGGAAAACTCCTCGTATTATCTCAATGTAAAACATTGAGAACTTTACAACGTTGAACCACTCATTCGATTGCTGCATATTTTTAGACGAACTACATCAAAGACCATTAAATTTAGCGTTTGTTTATGGTTTTGAGTTTCATTGGAATTTCAAGCTAATTGAAACTATATATTCGTAATCTTTTGTTCTTACAGGAAACACAGTCTTGGAATTCATTTTAGAAATCAATAATCGAATTAACTGAATATAAATATCAACCCATACGTCGATGGAAAGAAGGAACAAAGGCTTGATGTCCTCACGCTGAATTTGATGTAAGTACGATCCAGAATGTTATTTTATTTTATTTTATTTATGGTTCTCTATGGGGGTATTAAAAAGTCTACCTATGCTCCAATGAATCTAGTTCAAAATTTTAAAAATATATTATGCATCATCCGTATAATATTTAAACCTGCAACATTAAATAATGTCATATAAATGAAGTATGCAATTTCAAAATATTGCAACCTATAACAAAGTTTCAAGTGTTCGAGCGAACTGAACCTTTTTTGGGTTGTCGCAAGACTATTGGGGTTTTGGTTGCGCGGTATTCTATTCTGTCTGCATTACGTGGAATATAAAAGCAAGACCTGGTTGGATGGAAGAGAGAATGAAATAACAAAAGGCACAGCGGCCATGTTGGATGACATAACGAAAGACACTAAATTAATCCAACATGGCGGCTGTGAAAACCATCAATATAGCGCTTTTTAAATCTCCATGGTGATTATTACAGGGTCATGGTGTCATGGAGACTATCCTCACATCCTTGAAGGCTGGGGTACCACGTGACTCTCTTACTGGGCTGAGCTTGTATTTTGGGGCGGAAGGACCATCTACTGACCAAGCAAGAAGCTCTAGACGCGATAATTTTGGTGATAAACTTCTTACACACTTGTCCTCGAATCCAAGCAAGTTTGAAAAAGACCTTAGGAATTTAGTACTAGATTTGTATTCAGACCACCGACCTGCTAACAAGGAACAAGGGCACCTTATCGGTATGGATTCAAATGGTGGCTCTTCTCTAGAGTTACCACACGATAAGGGACCTCAGCAGGAACGCGGGGAAGTTAATGATTTGGACTCTTTTAGAGGGACTATTTTAAGGTCATCACTTGAGCCCCTTCATGAAGATGTCTTCAGCAACGAGACTTTATGTTTTACAGGCCAATCTTCAAGTGCGTCCTCTTTGCACGAAACATCTCCTATTTTACTGAAATACCAAGAAACTGCTCTGGTTGATAACTTTACCGATAAAACCCAAATGGTTCTGGCTAAACGTCAAGGACAGGCTTCCCCCTTAATTGAGAATGAAAGGAGAAGTAGCACGGGGGGTGATGGCAGCGCAGATGAAATGCGTTTGAAATCATTTGAGGAACTGCAACAAAATCTGCAAAAATTTGAAATGGCAGAAGCGTCAGGTAAAGTGATGTTCATAGTATCAATAATACCTAATGCCAACTAATAATTATCAGTTTGATGACATCTCTAATGAAAGGATGATTTATATTGTAGAGTTGTTGCGTGACCGTCACGAATCGATGGAGTCACGCAGTTTTAGCGATTCAGGGATTTACCTAGAGTTTTTCTCGTCTGATAATGAAATGAATGCCGTCACTGACTCCAAGGGTAATAGTGATGGTAGCCATGATTGCAAGGATGTCATTGATGGTAAAGAGAGTAAGATACTCATTTATGATGATTCTATGAATGCAGTGAATGAAAATGAAGACGTGACAAAATGCTATCAAGGTATGAATTTCATGACGATTGTAACCATAGTGATGGGGATGATCATGATCATGAGTGGGGTCTCGCCCTCGATTCCTGCACTCTGCAGTAGAGTTTGTCAGAACTTCCCTTAATTTGAAGGTTTTTCTACGGGTTTTCCAGTTTTCCTTCACAATACCGAATATGCTGACATGCTTAGTTCCAATTCGATCTGTGATTTAGGCGTTTCCTGACTATAAAGATCAGCCAGATCGGGTTGTTTCAGGGTTCGATCTGTGAGTTAACCATGCCCTGACTTTGATCAGTCCAAAGGTTGTTCCAGGATTCGATCTGTGAGTTAACCGTGCCTTGAATTAGATCAGCCCAGAGGTTGTTTCAGTGTTCTATTTGTGAGTTAGTTGTGCCTGTCTTGAAAGTTAATGTCAATACTCAACAGTTATGTTTAATCTTATCTAGCATATTCACTAAAACTTTTATTTGCAGATCCCAGATTCCAAGGTTCAAACCGTCCTGAATTTCTCTCAACTGGTAAATCTGTCATGCTAAGTTCCACACCGAGGAAAGCTTCCTTTCTGCACGCTAGATCTTTCCAGGGAGGCATTAGCGAGTCAAGGGATGGAACATCTAGTGAGGAGAATATGCAGCTAGAGCTGGCAAACATGGAGGGAAAGCTAGAGACCCTGACATCAGAATACCGTGGTGTTTTAGAAGAGAAAAAACAGCTCCAAGCAAGAATAACAGCAATAGAAAACAAGGTCGAGAAGGGAGAACAGAAGAATGAAGGGAGCTCCAATGAAGAGCAAACCAGATTAGAAAACCTTCTCGAGAAAGAATCCAAGCTAAAAAAGAAAATTATGGAATTACAGCAAGATATAGATGTGAAAGATGGTCACATCAAAGATGCTGAAGAACGAGTGAGGATTTCACAGGAAAACATCGAGAAACTTCAAAGAACTCTTCAAAACCTTGAGACAGAGTTAACAGCTAAAACAGGTAATGAAGAAGTGTTGAAGAATGAATTGTTAAACTTAAAGAAATCTTTTATTGAAGCGCAAGACTTACATGAAGGACAGCTGAAGGAAAACCAACTTCTTCACTCAGATGTGTCGACGCTAGTAAAGGCGAAGACATGGCTGATGAAACAACTGGAAATAGAAAAAGATTCGCACGTCAAATTGGAACTGGAAATAAGTGAATCCAAATCAACGGTCTTCTCGCAGAACAAACTCGTCGAACAGTTGAAAATAGATAATGCTCGCACTTGTAAGCAGTTGACCGAAGCCCAAGAAAATGCTATTGTAGAGAAAGCAAGGATATTAAAACACCTAGAAAAAGTAGAAGAAGAGTTAGTACATCAGGACTTCGCGTTCAAGCAAATCCAAGCAGAGAAAGAAAGAGTTCAAAGAGAGCTGAATGTTAAGATTGAATCCCTCCAGAAAGAAAATGCTCTTCTGGAGAGCTTGGCGAGCTCAGCAAAGAAGCTCCAGGACGAACTAGAAATATTCAAAAACGAAACAAACACGAAAATAGATCTGTTAAAGAAATTGAAGCAAGAGAAAGATGAAGTCGAGCAACATTTGAAAGTTGCTAGAAGTATAAATGAAGTTGGCGAGAAGAAAATAAAAGCTTTGAATCACAAACTAGAGATGAATGAGGACCAGCTGAGAACGGCTTTGAATGAAAAACAAGCGAAGGAAATATATATCCAGGAACTCTTAAAAAAGAATGATGTGCTTGAAGAAAGCATCAAGGAAGCAGAGGAGGAGAAAGAAGCACTAGATAGCGCAGTACAGCTATTAAGGGTCGAGTTAGACAAAGTGGAGCGGCGTTTTAAAATGATGAAACGCGAATTAACATCGAAAACAAATCAACTCGAGGAAGTAACGAGGCAAAAAGACGGGTTCGTGAATGAACTGCGGGTCTTGCGGGACGAGCTGGAAAAACACGCGTCGTTACTCGAGACTTTGCGGGACACTATTCGTATGCGGGATGAAGCTATGACTGCTCTTCACAGTGATAAAGTGAAAATACTTGCAGAGGTCCGTGCTTTAAGAGATAGATTAGAAAATACGAAAACAAGTTGTGAACAAACCCAGAAAGAGAAAGAAGAGTTACGCGAAGAGCTTCAGAATTCAAACAGGTATATGGACACATTTCTTTTGAATTTTCTTCTTTCTTATTCATAACAATTTTACTACTTAGTTTAAGCTTTATATTTTTAATTTTCCGCTCCCATCCTATAGTTTGATAATGCCTGACAACTATCCATTTTCATTTTCCCACTTCTTCCCAGTTCTCCGGCAGTTTTCCAATATCCCTCTAATTTCTCTCAGTCTCTTCTCTTTCTGTGCTATTCTCCTAGCTTACCCGCGTTCGCGTTCATCTCCAAATAATGCCGTTCCGCAATCTTCCCTAAGTTCCCAAAACATTCTGGCGTTCTATTTTTTCTTATTTAATTGTTTCAATGGCGACCAATTTTTTTCCCTTCTTGGTTAATCTAACTCAGTCTACTAGCCTCTGAAAGGACTTACATAAGGTAGAAACCATCTTTTCTGCCTGGTAATAACATAATGATGCTTTTGTTTCAACAGTCAACTTTCCCATTTAGAGAAAAGACTTCATGAGTCTTGCTCACAGAAAGCAAAACTCGAAGGCGAACTGGAGTCAACTCAACGTGCTGCGAAAACCCAAGAAACAGTATATGAAACACAAACTGAATCTCTGAAACAGGAGATGAATCAAATCCAAACGAACTTACAGCACCAGGTCACACGTCACAGAGACGAAGCCATAAACCTGAGACAAGAAGTGGAATATCTCAAGGCACAACATCAGGAGAAAAATAAGAAACATAACAACGAAGTTTTAGAACTCAAGGGAAAGCTTTTACAGGCAGAAGAGAGTAAAACGCATTTTGAGGCTGATACGAGGAAGAAGTTTGAAGAGTTATGTGAATCTAGTGTGAGTGAAGCTAAAGAAAATTTTGAAAAGAAACTAAGTGAAAAAGAAGGGGATTTATTTTCGACGAGGCAAGAGAAAGAAGAACTCTTTTTTAGATTTACTGAACTAGAGGAGAGAGCAAAAAATACAGCTAATTTACAAAAAGATAGAATTGCAACCCTTGAAAAGGAGTTAGGATTTGCAAGAAAAGTTTTGAGCGAGCAGCGAAATGAAATCGAAAAGCTTTCAATGGTATCCGTCGAGTTAGAAAGAGAAAAAGGACGGCTTGCAGGGCTGATGACGAGCCAAAAAACTCTTAGGGATCACTGCTCTAAGATGGAGCAATTTGCCGCCAGTAAGGAATTAAAGATTTCAGAGCTGAATACTTCAGTAGAGATTCTCCAAAGAGATAAAGATTTGCTGAGAAAAGAATCGGAAAGGAAAATAAGTTCGCTTGAATCTTCACTCGCTGACAATAAAAGTGTGGTTGAGGAATTAAAACTGCGCTTGAAGTCACAGAGAAACCAAAATTCCCAATTAAGAGCAGGACTTGATAAAAGTGAAGAAGAGATGGAAAAAGTTATGAAGGAGTTAACTTCAGCACGACTTGATTTAGAAAAGACGAATAAAAAGTACGAAAAATGTGTTCATGATTTGAATAACAGTGACGAGAGCCTTCGAGCCGTGAAATCAAATCTCCAAGATTCAAAACTACTTACTTCTAGACTAGAGAAAGAGAATGAGATTCTTAAAGAGCAAGGAAAAGTTAAAGATGATCTTGCGGCTTCGACGCAGTGGAAATTACAGCAGTGTCGTAAAGAACTGGATTACGCAAAGGAACAGCTTCGAATGTCCGATGAACGACACCAAATAGAAATAGAGAATCTAAAAACTGCATGTCAAGTTGCAAAGAGTGAAGCTACGTATCTGAGACGCGAGGTTGCAATGGCTCGGAAATCTAAATGTGAAAACCAGGAAAAGTTTTTTACCTCAAGAGACGAGGTGCTATTAACAAGACAAGAAGCTGAATCTGTTAAACAAGAACTTTTCTCGGCCTCTCAGCAACTCAGATACTTGAAGTCCGCCATCTTGAATGCACGTGACGTCACTGAGGTTCAGGAGTTTGTAAAAAACGAGGAGGAATTGTCTTTCGTTTCTATGGTAACAGCTGAATCTGCCAATCAGGATGTGGCATACTCTAATAGGTATGTGGTAGTATATGTAGCAAACATACGTTCAAAATTTATAGTGCGAATAGGCCCTTTGCAGCTAGTGGTCACGTGCTTGGATACCGCTTAGCAACACAAAACTGGAGAGCAAGCCTTCCAGTAAACAAAAGTTGTAA